CAAAAATATGAGCCCAACTCAGAAAATGACTCAAGGAAACTTCATCTGTCAATAGCCACTAATGACCTAGAATTTAGAGTCCCACTTGTGTCTGCTTTACCACATAAATTAATGCATTTCGGTCTTTTGCCATTACTGGCATTGATTTGAATTCAATGTTGCTATTAACAGTACATTAATTGTGTTAAAATCACCCAAATTATATAAAATGAATTATTCTGATATTAACTAGATGCATAATTGACTGAAAATATGTCCTTCTCAATCAGATTTTCTAACCATAAAAGATCTGTCATAACAAATACATTTTTCGACACTTTATGAACCAGAGAACTGAATATGTTCTGAAGATGATTTTGGCATAGATCATTTCCAAAATATTAAATATACTACTTTTCTTTTGGAGGAAAATTCCTTCTATCAGGAGTTAAAATTAAAAGCTTCTATGGAAAGTTTAGTCATCCTATCAGAATTTCCAAGCCTGTATCCCTACAGGTCACTTAGGAACCTAATCCAATCTCTCAATCTCCCAATCTAGTCATTTTAGGGGTTAGGGGTCTGATTCCTAGAGTTTGTCTCTTAAAACTGTCTCATAGTAAACAAACAAATAAAAATTAACAGACTACAAACCAAGAATAAACTGGATGTTAACTCTAATAGTTTTTTTTAACACTCCATCTAGCACTATTAATATGCCATAAAATTTAGAATTTAGAATAGAGCTGAACAGAATTATTTTTCTCTTACAAACTTGACAATTGTTACCATCAATATCCCTTCAGAGAAACCCTTCCAGTTTTTCCTGTCCCCAAAACATACTACACTATACTGAAAGATCCATTTAAAATATAATAATGTACAGTGAGGTTTCACTGTACATTCCTATGTTTGATAAATTTAGTCTAACACCAACTCTTAGAGTCTCAAGCCCAAGAAACTTTTAATGAGGATTACAATATAATTATATTTTTAAAAATGTACAGCTTGCTTTTTTCTTTCAAGTATGTGTGTGTGTGTGTGTTTATGACACAGCACACCAATAGAAAAATTCAATAGGATGCCGTTATTTGCATTGTAGGTTCCAGCCCATTTGTGGTCATAGAAAAATCAATCCAGTGTGACGAGACCAGTATTTTTTAAATAATAGAGAAAATCCACATTGTGAGGTTAAATATTATTTTGTGAGCCTTGTTTCATGTATCACACACACACACACACACACACACACACAGAGTGTACTGCACTGAAGGTTAGAATATATTTCTTATTGAAGACTGCAGTCCAAAGAGAAGTTTTAAAAATACTAATGTTGAAGAACTATGCTCTCCAGCCAAAAATCTAGAGTGTTGCCAATGGAGGAATGACCCTGGGCTGCTGCCTCATAAAATATATTTTAGGCCAATACAATAAAAGATCAGAAGACTAAATTATATTGTCCGTGTTGACTCAAAAAACTAACTGTGGCTCTGAAATACCAAGAATGGATTAAACATCTCAATCCACATGGCATCTTCAATACACATGTGATCTACAATAAGAGAAGAATGACATTCTCACTCATTCTCCCTGGAGTCAGGCATCATCTGGACAAATAGAAATTAGGGCAAATCAGAGCTGGACAAAGAACAACAGACTATTTTGTACTCATAAAGGCCTTACACACTCTATGAAAGACAAAAAGATAAACATCTTATGATAAGTGGGATTAAGGGTGGTGAGATAACATGAGCCCTGGGTCAAGTCTCTGGAAATAATAATGCCATGTCTACCACTAACTTGCTGGGTGAACTGAAGTTAGAATACCTCTCTCAGCTTTGGTTTAATCACAAACTGTATGGACTGACTGAATATCCAAAGTGGATATTATCAGGAAATCCTGATAATTCTAGGGTAAGAGAAGATTCTTGATTTAAGGCCTCATTACCTTAATCTAGGAAAGTTTTTTTTTTTCATTTTACAAATAGTTTAACTGAGGCACACTGTTACTCTAGCTAATGCAAACATGTTACATTCCTCCTTTAAGAGTAAAGGTAGTCTAATATCTGGCTCAATAATCAATAAAGTTTAATTCTCTAGATTTGAGGCGCAACATCTACATCTAATTTTTAAAATAGTATTTAACATATGTTCTTTCTCTGTATGGAGATAAGATTAGGGGGGCCAGCCAGGGCCTCTGGACAAAAGCAGAAACCACTGCTTGAAAATATCATAATTATATCCTGTTTGTGTGGTCGACTTTTTACCTTTAACTGCACGTTAAAAAAACTAAAAGAGAGAGAGGGACGCCTGGGTGCTTAGCGGTTGAGCGTCTGCCTTTGTGGCTCAGGGTGTGATCCCGGGATCTGGGATCAGGTCCCACATCGGCTCCTTGTATGGAGCCTGCTTCTCCCTCTGCCTGTGTCTCTGCCTCTCTCTTTCTCTCTGTGTCTCTCATGAATAAATAAAATCTTTTTTAAAAAATAAAATAAAATAGGAGAGAGAGAGAGGCAAACCATAAGAGACTCCTAACTATGGGAAATAAATTGAGGATTGCTAGTGGGTGGGGGGATGGGGTAACGTGTGATGGGCATTAAGGAGAACACTTGATGGAATAAGCACTGGATGGTATACACAACTGATGAATCACTGAACTCTACCTCTGAAACTAAATAATACAACATATGTTAAATAAATTGAATTTAAATTTAAAATCTAATAAAAACAACAACAATGAACTATAGGAACTGCCGAGGCATTTTGTTAAGAGTGCAATTCAAAATATATTTTTAAAAACCAGCAAAGATAGAAGTAAGCAAATGCAGACACTGGAATTGCCATTTATTATTAGAAACCTCTGTAAAAATGCTATAGTTAAAGCAATATAAAAAGAAAGATGCTTGGTACAACTAAACTGTTCAGAATGCTTAACATGTATGATAGACTTCAGATATTAAAAGTAAAAGTTAAATTTAAAGAATTCTAATTGTAGGGTATGACTTAAACCTCATGTCTTTTAGCCACAGACTCAAAGAAAATGTACACAAGCAAAAGAAGCAACAGCGTTTCTCACAACCAGAAAATGCAGCGACCTTCTTATTTTTTAACAATGGATTTTTGAATTTAATTGTCTTCATTGTATAACTTTCACATTATGCTGGCTTAATAACACTTTCTAAAAATCAGAAGAATCGTTAACTCTGTGGGGTTCTAAAAACAGCAACAGCTCTCTGATGAGTCTGAAGCCAAGTGTCTCTGAGGAGTCACGGGAGAAGGAAACAAAAGAGGAAGGTAAGCCCCGTTTTCACCCTCAAGTCTTAAGCTTCAGAAAAGCCTAATTAGGCAGGGAAAGGAATCTGGGCCTGGCACACCCAGGTTCAGTCGTGGCAGGACCCTGAAACAAACTTTCTCTGGACCTTTGAGTCCTATGCGCAGGCAACGCAGCCGCGACACCCGGTCCCTAAGTCAACAGGTCCTCACCGAGGCGGCGCGGCGGGGGAGCGGCAGCTGCAGCCTCCGTCCGACCCGGGACCCGGAGCGGGCGCGGGCCTGGCTTAGGGAGCGCACCCGGAAAAGTGAGGCGGGGGGGGGGGGGGACGGAGGGAGAGACGAGGGAGGGAGGTCGGCGTCCCGACCGCAGGGCGCTTTCCAAACCACTCGGAAACCATTTAAAGGGCTCGGCGGCGGGCGGCTTCCAGCCCAGGACTGTCTGGGGTCCGGATGGGAAAGTTGCCTGGCAAAGCCCTGCCCTTTCCCGTCGCGGGCCTGTCCCCCCCGCCCGCACCCCGCTCCACCACCACCCGGCACCGGGGCCGGAGCAGCCCGGCCACCTGCTGGCCCCCGAGGAAACGCGGCCGTCCGGCGCCTGGCCCAGCCCCCCCCCCAGTCCCCCACACCCCCCAGCCCCTCCAGGCCCCTCAGTCCCCCACGACCCCCAGTCCCCTAGCCCCCCAACCTCCAGCCCCCCAGCTCCCCAGCCCTCCAGCCCCCCACGCCCCCAGTCCCCCAGCCCCCCCAACCTCCAGCCCCCCAGCTCCCCAGCCCTCCAGCCCCCCACGCCCCCAGTCGCCCAGCCCCCCAACCTCCAGTCCCCCAGCTCCCCAGCCCTCCAGCCCCCCACGCTCCCAGTCCCCCAGCCCCCCCAACCTCCAGTCCTCCAGCTCCCCAGCCCTCCAGCCCCCCACGCCCCCAGTCCCCTAGAACCCCAACCTCCAGTCCTCCAGCTCCCCAGCCCTCCAGCCCCCCACGCCCCCAGTCCCCCAGCCCCCCCAACCTCCAGTCCTCCAGCTCCCCAGCCCTCCAGCCCCCCACGCCCCCAGTCCCCTAGCCCCCCAACCTCCAGTCCTCCAGCTCCCCAGCCCTCCAGCCCCCCACGGCCCCCAGTCCCCTAGCCCCCCCAACCTGCAGTCCCCCAGCTCCCCAGCCCTCCAGCCCCCACGGCCCCCAGTCCCCTAGCCCCCCCAACCTGCAGTCCCCCAGCTCCCCAGCCCTCCAGCCCCCCACGCCCCCCAGTCCCCTAGCCCCCCCAACCTGCAGTCCCCCAGCTCCCCAGCCCTCCAGCCCCCCACGCCCCCCAGTCCCCTAGCCCCAACCTGCAGTCCCCCAGCTCCCCAGCCCTCCAGCTCCCCAGCCCTCCAGTCCCCCACACCCCCAGTCGCCCAGCCCCCCCAACCTCCAGCTCCCCAGCCCTCCAGCTCCCCAGCCCTCCAGCCCCCCACACCCCCAGTCGCCCACCCTCCCAACCTCCAGCTCCCCAGCCCCCCAGTCCCCAGCCCTCCAGCCTCCCCAGTCCCCAGCCCCCCACGCCCCCCAGCCCTCCAGCCCCTCCAGCCCCCCAACCCCCCTCAGCCCCCACTCTCCCAGGGGCCAGCTGCGGGCCACCAGGGCTTGGACCCCGGCCCCTCCCGGGCTCGGCGGAGGAGCAACCGAAACCCCGCTCTCGAGACCCCCTCCAACCGGCCTCGGCGGCCGCCCCGCCGCCGCCCCGACGCCGCCCCGGGCCCGCCGGGCCCCCGCCCGCTCACCTGGCGGCAGCGCTCGGCCGGCGGGAGGCAGCGGCCGGCGGGGCGCGGGCGCGGGGCTCGGGGCGCGGGGCGGGCAGGGCGCCAGGTGCAGGTGGGCGGCCGCGCCCCCGGGGGGTTGCTGTCCTACGGCCGCCGCTCGTCCCGCTCCGCCGCCGCCGCCGCCGCCGCCTTCCCGCTGGGCCGCCCGCGCTGCCGGGAGAGGCCGAGGCGAGGCTGCGCTTCCTCGGCGGGTCTCCCAGGTGAGCTCCCCGCGGCGACGTCGGCAGGGCCGAGGGCCCCGTCCCGCGCCTGCGCGCCAGCCGCCCGCCCCGCCCCGCCCCGCCCCGCCGCTGCCCTACCTGAGCGCCCCAGGTGAGGCCGCCCGGCGCGCGGCGCGGAAGCCGTCCGGGCGGAGCGCGGCCGCCACCGCCGCCTGCCGGGCGCACGCCTCGCCGGCCTCCCCGGGGCGGGGGCACCTGGCCGCCGGCGGCCCGGGCGAGCTCCGGCTCACGCTCCCCGGCCCGCCCGTGCGGTCCGCGCGAGGGCGGGGCTGCGCCGCCCGGAGCCGGGGGCGCCCGGGGCCCCCGAGGAGCCGCTCATGTCGGGGCAGCGCGCTCCCTCGGTGGGGGGGGGGGGCGCCCGCGGGTCAGGCCCCGCGCCGTTGGCCGCGCTTCCTCCCCGGGCCCGGCCCTGATTTCATCACTGGGCTCGGTGGTTTCCGCCGGTGCGAGCGCCCGCTCTGCCGGGGGCGCCTCACGTCCGAAGGAGGCGCCGCCCCCTCCGGGGAGCCTGCGGCGCTGCGCCGAGCCCGGGAGCCCCGGCCCGGCCGCGGAGCCTGCTGCCCTCGTTCGCACACGCGCTCGCTCCCAGAAGAGGTTGCCCCTGCTGCGGGTGGGCCGCAAAGCCCAGCGTCTGCGGGGAGGTGACTGCAGAGCCCGGGGGGGGGGGGGGGGCGACACAGGGGGTCTCGCCACTGTTCCTCAACCCAGAACTTGTTTTTAAAAACAGCATTTCTTCCCCCCCATGATAGTTGCAACTTTCTTTCAGCCTTCCTGGGGCTGTTGGGAGACACACGGACACCCCCAAAAGCAGGACTTAAGAAAAATGCCCTTCCTATAAACTCGTTCACTATTTTGGCCGGATCTTCAGTGTACACAGGAATATAAATAGAAAAGTAGCCGATGACACGGTGGCAGGTTTTTCTGTAAAGTGTAGCTGTGGTCTTCCTCCTGCATTTTGACACATACACTTAGGGTTTTCCTCTTACTGGTGTGTTAGTGTTATGTGTGACCTAAAATTAAAATCTAGAAATACTCGTTAGTATGATGTCAATAGGTGTAACTTTAGGACTTGGCTGGTCTGGAATTGGTTTTAGCCTCTACAGTAGTTTTTTTTTTTTTTTTTAAGATTTTATTCATTTATTTGAAAGAGCGAGAGAGAGCACAAGTGGAGGGGAGGGGCAGAGAGAGAGAGAGACAGACAGACAGACAGACTTGTGCTGAGCAGGGATCCTGATGCAGTGCTCTATCTGGGACCCTGAGATCATGACCTGAGCCAAAGTCAACCACTTAACTTACTGAGCCACCCAGGTGCGCCCCATTCACACGGCTATTTCATACCACACCTATTTAAAACTTTGGTTAGTTGTTTGCATCATAATTGTTTTGCAAGCATCAAGGAAACTTTTTGTGTTTGAGACATTTTAATATCATTACCTACAAGCAATTTTTAACCTTTCCCTCTCTCTCCCTCCACAAAAAAAGCTCAGGAGCTACTTATATGTATGACCATACTGACTTGATAATCTTTGTCCTTAGGTCCAGAGCTGAAAATATCACCTACCAAAATCCACCCCCACCCGTTCTTTTTGAGGTTCTGCAACTTCCTTTGCTGTTTGCCTCTAGATGGAGTTTAGAGTCTTAGTCTTTGGGAAACTGGAGAGAAATCCTAAATGTATAACCTCAGAGACTCTATCCCTTGTCTTGCATCACCCATCACTGAATGAGGCAGGAACCAAAGACTGTCAGAGTTTTGAGGTACCACCAGACAAAGAACAACAATTTTCACTGACAAGAGCAGAAGAACCGAACAAATGGATATAGAATAGCAATTGGAAATCCAAGGACTGAGATTCATTGACATCAAGACAAGTAAAGTCAAATAATAACTAGAAAAGGAAGCTAGGGCAGACCTACAAAAAGAGAGAGCAAGAAAATGGGACCAAAATGCTGCATGAGAGGTGAAAAAAAGAACAGAGCAAATATAAAAATCAGAAGTTACTAAAAATTGACTGCCAGTTTTACAATAGAGACAGATAATTTAAACAAGGAAAGCAGTATTTTTGGGTTTGGCATACCTACCAGCATTACATGTACTATTTCATTTCATTCTGAAAGCAAAGTCTTAAAATTAATGAAAGTTTTTTACTTAATAATAAAATTAAAATGCCGCAGGCCCAGAAGAAAAGTGTTATGTTGCAATGTTTAATGCTCTAAATCCAATGAGATAAAGTATCATCTTATTCAAGATTATAAAATAAAGCATTTGTGTTATAAAGGAGAAGTTAGTATTTGTTTACAAAATAAAACCCAGGAGACTTAGTGTAGACATGCTTCTCAGAAACAAGCTTATTTTTAATACTGCATGTTTGACATGTAATGGCAGTTAAAATAGAAAATTAAGATTTCACACAGGAAAGAAGAAACATATCTATCTACACATAAAGAGAGAGAGGGGGAGAGGGAAGTAGCCATAAAATGCTTATTTATGTGGATTTAAAATAATATTCACTGCTTAATAAGTTTTGTTAGCATTTAAACTAATGCCAAGACCAGCATCTAGGTACTCAGTAAATATTTGTTAAGGTAATAAATTGATTAATTAAATATCATGAAAAAACCATTATGCATAATGTCTTATGCCAAATACAAATCCAAAGAATGGTTTAACCAAGCAGTACGGAGAAAGGATCTAAAGCAAGTAAGAGTAATAGACTAAGAATTTGAAGGACAAGCGTCTAATAACAATCACTATCAGTTTTCAGGTACTGATATTTCAAAATGTACTATGCAAAGCACCAAGTTACTTTACTTTTGGGCTTAAATTTCCTCTTCCTCAAAATAAAATACTGGTACAAGGTGATCACCAAGTTCCTTTACACACTGACTCATATGAATTCCACGATAAGATAATGGTCATGCACAAAAAAAAAAAATCCTCTGGATATAGGAATAGCAACTAATGGAAAACAAAGACGAAGGAATGGGAATTACTTAACAGAGGCAGAAATTTTAATTCATAAAATTATAATATATAACTAGTAAAATTATTCAGATTCACTAAGTTTAATTTTAAATGTCTTTAGTTTGTTAATTGTTTAAATTGTTGATGACCCAGGGCTTAGCAACTTTAGCTTGAAACCTACTGCCTGCCTGGTTTAGCCTTTAAAAACAGTTGGAAACTGGAGTCTCCAGTCAGATCTCAAAGTCATTTTGAGAGTCTTGGCTCCAAGACTAGACAGATTGAAATGATTTCTACTAAAAGAATTGAAAGGCTATTGATTTAAAAGGAGAGTAGTGCTGGTATCATAGTGAAGAGCCACAAATATGTGGGTATTTTTTTATAACGATTCAGCATAATTCTACATTGTGTTTAAAATATTATGAGTTAAACCAGTAAAAACATGAATAGATTATTTTTAGTATGAACTTTTTTAGACAGTGTCTTGTGTGAAGATTGCTTATGAGGGTTTCCCCCTCCTAAGAATAACAACGGAACAACCATCTGGTACTTTCAAAGAGGTACAGATTTCTATGAGGGCGCTTACTGACAAAATGCAACAGAACAATGTCTTGTTAATCTTGTATCTTTAATGCTTGGCGCATAGTAGGTGCTCAATAAATATTTGATGGAATGGATTGAGCGCAGAGTTTCAAGCTTTTAAGCATTAGCATAAGAGCAAAAAGAAATACCATGCTGAGTCAGGCTAATATTCAATCCAGCTAGCTCTAAATTCTTACTGTGGCATCAAAGGATTTTTTTTCTGGGAAAAGATAGTGATCGTCCTGCATGACGTTGACCCCAGATATATACTCCAGGTGTCCCTGACTCACTCTTTCCTAAATGGATATTTTTCTGTAAAATGACTTTTTAAATCGTAAGTCAATTCATATTTATTTGAGAAAAATCAAGACAAATAAAAGGAATCAGTTGGAAACACCCCAAATTCCTCCCATGTAGATGAATCAGCGCTAACTACCAGACCCGTTTCTACTGTTTATCTCTCCAGATATTTTCGAAAAACTAGGGAGAGTGGAATGGAAGATACCGAGGGAGACAGAAACATGTTTTTAAAATAAAAACTAGGTCATATTGGGATCTTGTTTGTAGCCAGAGTTTTCTACCTAACATATCTTCCCATGTCAATGAATTCATTGTTTACAGCATTGTTTTTAATTATTGCGTAGTTTCTTTTTTGTATGAATGAATTTAACCAGTTACTTAATGGACAATGAAGATTGTTTTCAAATTTTGCTGTTGGAAACAGTGCGGTGGTGCTCACATTCTTTAGTGCTCACTATCTTCATCTCTTGAAAGATTTACAATACTTTTCTTCTGACTTTATTAAGCCACTTTGTATCAGCCACCCAAGATCCTAAACAATGATGATATTAGGGGAATGACAGCAGAAAGGCAAATCATCAAAATATATTAATGATTTAGCACTTCCTGTTTGTAAAAATATTAATCCTAGTTACCAAAACTTTATGTAAAGCATGCTTATTATAATTAAAAACTTATTGGAAGGACACCTGACTGGTTTAGTCAGAAGAGCATGAGACTCTTGATCTTGGGTGGTGACTTTGAGCTCCACGTAGGGCATTGAGATTACTTAAATAAATATTAAAAAAAAACAAAACTTCATCATTTTAGACATGGGGAAGTAGAGTGTGCCCTTAACATGGAAAAGTCAGCTCCCTTACCTTCTCCTGATGATAGCATACTCAGCTTCCCATCTCTGAAAAACCTGTGTGTCTCTCTTAACTTCTCCTAATTCCCTCCTGCCCAGTTGAAGGCTCTAGTCTCTTATGGAACTCCTAGGTCAGCCCAAATCACCTTGGTGTTTCTTCATTCCAGTGCCATGGCATAAAGTAAACTTTCCTCTTCCCTTGGTCCTTGTCTTCTCCTTAATCCAATTTCAGGAAGGGGGAATTGTGAAGAGACACTACCTGAGCATGATATCATTTGTTGCCAAACAAGTTATGATAATTTGTTAAATAATTTAAGTC